TAAAAAAAAAAAAAAAAAAACACAATGTATAAATATTATTGCCATTAAGTGGAACCATTATTGACTTTAAATCATTCTATAAAAGCTCTTAGAGCAGGCTTCACAGATACTAGATTTCATGGAAATCCTTCACACTGTCGAGCGCTATTTTGGGTAACATAAACGCCCAGAGTTCTCTGTGTACTTAGACACCACAGAGCACTATTAGCCTGGCCCCTCTCTAGCATCTCCCTGTTCTTCTCCAGTTCTMTTGTAGTTGCCCATTTTCATCTTTAAAGAAGTAACAACAAACAAAAGCAGTGGGACTAAAAGCAAGCAAGCTTGGAATCTGCTTCAAACAGTTTTAGAGAAATTTGTGTCCGAGTTTCAGTTATTTTTGAGAACAAAGCTTGAGGAAAAAAGCATTTTTTTAGCCCCCATTACAGGCCCGGGGTTTTTAAGTCACTAAGAATGAGAGTATCTAAAAACTCAGTCTCTTGCTCTGAWGGAAGGACACGATCTTCAGTACAAAGAAGTAGCTTTCTTGCCAACCCATCCACAGGGTGATTTGTGTCTGAGAAGTCACCTTTCTCACACACTTGGAGCATCATTTCCCAGCAGGATTCCCAGAGATGYCCCCCACGCGGGGCTCGCTTTACCTTTGGGAGGCATCAGGAGCGGGTGGGAAGGACAAGTGTCCACAGGGCGCCGCTCACCAGAGCATCTTCCCGTGCCGAGGCCAGAGCCCAGCACCCGCAAGGTTCACCTCCCTGTGTCCGTGAAGATCCAGCGTAAAACTGCCTCTGCCTCTGCTCTTCCTCAGGTCCCTATGGACAACAGCAATTACTGTTGGTCAGCAACCAAGTCATTTAAATGGCAGAGAACTGTGTAATAGTTTTTAAGGCTTCACACATACCACAGGTGTCAAAACCCAGCAGTGCAATGCTGCTGTTACAGAAACTTGGGGGGACAAAATTATGTTTTTAAAAGCAAGGTAGGAGGCTCATGCAGAGGCAGAACTACATTTAAAGGCCAGAGTTTAAGGGCCAGTTCTTGCAAGACGAAGTTCTCAGGTGTTGGGTAACACCTGAGCCCTGATATTAGCTAATCTCTGCAAGACTAACACAATTTCTTTGTGCTCTTTTGTTAGCATACGATCTTGTAATTACAGATGTACAGAATTTTTCCATAAAACCCTTTACCTCATCCAGTGCAGGGGCAAAAAAAAAAAAAAAAAAAAAAAAAAAAAAAAAAATAGAAAAAAAAAGCTGAAGAAACACAGGAGAGCTAAAAAAAAAAAAAAAAAAAAAAGTTTGTACAATCCAGCTTCTGCAGAAAATAATTTACTTTGAAAGATGAGACAGGGAATTGCAGGCAAAGAAAAAGTTAGTTTCACAAGCAGCAGAGTAGAGTATCAGCCAGTAAGTCATTATTACTACCCACTTCTTCCTTGATAGGGTACTAGATTAGCTGAAATAAACCTTTCATTGGTGAGTTACTATATAATCCATCTTTTTAGGTACCTAACTTAAATTGCTTTGTGCAACAGAGCTGCTTGCTTACTCTGTTGCATGAGCACTTGTAAGGTAGACCCAAAAATGATTTTTTGACTTTTGTGTTCCTTTGGCCATCTTCCCCTTTGCAAGGAATTTTTTAAGCACACATTGATTTCAATGGAGCATTACAAAAATAATTTTGGTTATCCTAATAACAACCAACAGAGTAAGCCATGGAGAAACTAGTAGCTTTACCTTCAAAGCAGAACTTAAACACCATGCAGCAAATGAGACCAAGGGGCACATACTGCATGAGAAGGTATAATATTACTGAAGCAAGAACCATCMACTGTGAACAAGGAAGAGAGAGGGCTTTACATTTATGTGGTTAAACACTACCGCCTGCTCACACTTACAGTGGAGCTGAATTAATAGCACAGCACAGTTTGGCTCTTGGCATGTCCTGAGTGCTTGATTTTACAAGCTTCATGACATTCTTCTAATATTTCTCCGAAGTAAGCATTTGATATAAATATCATAACATTTTTTCCCCCTCCCCCTCTTAAACAAACACATTTTTTACTATTTGGACACAACACCCCACTGCCTACTGAACATCTGGCCTTGGGAGAGCTGCCYGTAGAGCTTTGAAGTTGTTGTCTTAATCAGTTCAATGACTTCTCTAGCTTAACACTGCAGTAACACAGTGCCCTTGCTGCTCCACGATGCTCTCCCAACCCACCAGGCCACTCCGCTAGCCCCAGCCTAGCAAGACACTGACTTACTTCACACAGCACAGGAAAACACATCAAGCTRGAGTGAGAAGGCCCAACCACCACTTCATCACACTTGCAGCACAGCAAAAATCTCATAGAGGCCTGAGAGGGCACATGCGGATAAGAGAGGGCCATCCCACAGCACAGCTGTGMAACATATGCATTTTACTAGGTCCTGATGACTCCTGATTGCTCTCTAGTTGTTTCAGCTGGTTGTTGCACAGGACCCACTTGGAAGCTCCATAGTCCATGCTCTGGAGGCAGGGGAATTGCCACTCACTTCTCTCTAGCAAGAGCTTTGGGAGAACTATTAAAGCCATGTTTTTCCATTCCTTATCAAGCTGTGCTGTAGTGTCCTAACAGTTATTCCTAAGAGTGTCCCAGTCAGCACAGCTGACTAGCAGTAACAACCTCCTCTGTGCTGCGGTCAGGAACKGCAGCGGCCTTGCTGAAATCAAGGCACACGTGCTGTGTATCAGCTGCTCCTAATGGKTATTTATACATTGAAGCTGTGTCACAGAACCATTGTGGCTGGAAAAGACCTTCCAGATCATCAAAGCTGACTGTAAACCCTTCAACACCAGGCCTRCTGAGCCATGTTAGTTAGGAAGTTAGGCAGGAAAGAAAGGCCTTCTTTTCCATGCCCTGGACTGCTTCACCAGCCCTCTGGTGGACAATTCAGCTKCCCTTGGCCTGATGGGTGACCTGGGTTTAGGTCTGCAGCTTTCCATAAACTGGGCTTTCTCAGGCCCTGTCAGATATCACACGGATAATAAGGGAACAGGGCATTTTCCATMAAGTTCCCTGGTTGGGGATTTTGCAGATACGGCCACTGACGTGGCCGCTCCTGAGAGGGTCCCTGTGCGAGGGCAGTGTGCAGCCCTTCTCACTCCTCAGTGGCACTGACAGACCAATACCTCCAACTGCCARAATGCCTCTTTCCTTTACGGGTGGCTAAGAAAGTGACCCCTCCACGAGAGGGGCCAGGAGCCGCTCCGGTACAAGCCTGGCAATGGGGATCCAAGGGATGGAAGGGCGCAGYCCTGGCTCTTCCGAATGACCACAGCCAATACATCAATGCACAAACATTTATAAGCTGTGGTGTTTGGCAGCACTGCCCTGCTGCAAAACAGCCACAGGGTAAAGGCAGCACTTCAGAGTAGCATTGAGCTTTCTTCTTGTCTAAGGATGACCACCCAAAATCCAAACCCTAATCAATAACGGTGCATGCATTAAGGAATTGCCAGATTTGAAGGAACTGCTTATGCTAGATTGTATATGTTTTTCTCTCTAAAAAGATAATCAGAGCTGGCAATATTTTACTGATGGGTGTTGCTTAAAAAAAGAGGAAAGAATATTTGTATTTTTCCTTAGTTCTTTGGATCGTTTCCCATTTAACAGCTACAGGGGAAATATCGTTTGGAAATATATGTATCAGTTGTGAAGAATTCACAAGTTCCTTTTATAGCAACAAAGACAAAGCATGAATGGTAGCTTCTGCATGTACCAGACTTATTTGTGGCTTTGTACTTTTTGATGTTAGTATTCTTTCTGCTCTCAAGTCAGGTTTCGAGAAAATTTAAGTCATAGATCATAAGTCTGATACTGCTACTTTACATTCCAGGCCTGAAAGCCAGCAGACATGTAGCGCTGGAACAGGTCTGAAAAGATCATCTAGACTATTCCTCTGCACTATGCAGAAYGCAAGGGCTGCCTAACCTTCCCCAGCAGGCCTTGTCCAACCTGTTCTTAAAAACCCTCCACTGAAAGTGACGCTGACCACTTATGATTATGCCATGAGATGGAACATGCTAATCTTTGCAAAACGTCGTCAGCAGAAATTTAATATTTTCCTGAAGATCATTAATGACCTCATTAGATAGCGCTGTACTTAGCAATGGTCCCTGTGGAATCACACAATCCATAATTCATTTAGTTACYGCTCACTTTTGATGACTACATTTTGAGATCTGTCAGCTAGCCATTTCTTAAGTCACTTGCTAAACGCCTTGCTCGCTATCCTATCCTATAGCACGGCTTTGTAATCAGAATGCTATGTGGTGCTAATATGCTGCAGAAGTCCACGGTATCAGCTGTCTGCCTTGATCCGGCCTCAGCTCTTGACCAGGAGTGTTTAATAAGTCTAATTTTTTTTTTCCAAAACCTTGCTGACTATTTGTAATCACAGCTCTTCCGTTCTCCCTTACATCCCTGCGTAGGCAGCCGAGACAAGTGATAACAAGCTCACCAATTTATAATTATTTACTCCACTTCTTCTAATCACGGCACCACTTTAGTGCTGTGGTGGGATTTCCAAGACATAACAGAGGTTACAGGCAGTGGGACTGGGATCCCTGTAGACAGCTGCTTAAGGAGGCCCTGCTGCAGCTGAACAGGGACACAGCAGATGAAACCAGATTCATGTCCTTGCTTGTCCAGCCTCCTCATCCCCAGGTGCCTGGTGACCCAGCAGTGCAATAGCTGCTCTGCAGTGCAGTTCCTCCCAGCTCCACACACGGTTCTTGGGCTCCTTTYGTGCAGGCTCATGTGCATGAGCACGAGCCTGGCTGGCTGCACGGAAACTCAGAGCCATGCGGGGCTGCCTGCCTGGCCAACACACGAGCGCGGATTTGGCCACAGCCATCTGCTGCCAAAGGCAAGAGGTAACTGCTGAGTTTTCCTTAATGAAATGAAAGCATTAACAAGGTCTCTCTTCTCTGCCCAGACGCTGATTGTCACAAAATTTGCAGGAGTTAATATCTTTTGAAATATCACCTCCGCCCAATTGGTGAGAATTGGTCTGTGGCATCAGAATATTTGGGCAGGAGCTGGCAGGCTGAGATCGTTTAAGCTTCATTTCTGTAGGAAATCAAGCCGAAAACTTTCCTTCCTCCTAAATGTTATTTTACATCCCCCTGGTTACTGACAAACTGAAAAGCACTTTATTGTTCTCATGTGAGATCCAAGGACAGCTTCCCACTGCCCTTAAAACACAATAAATACTTACCAAATCCTTTTCTTACCATTAACAATGTAACCATCATCACCTATTCAGCACCAAAATAATTTCTTGGGCTGAGTTTTTTCCCAACTTGAACATTGCTCTCCTGTGCTCAGCTCCCAGCTCCATGTGCTCTGTTCTGTGGATCCTTCATAGACCAATCCTCCTTCATTAGGAAGGACACCTGGCACCCAAGTGGGCCCACAGAGCCCAGAACGAGATGCCTTAAAGACTGGCACCGCAGAGCCCYAGAGGGCCCCAGTCCTTTGTGGATTTGCTCTTGAGGTCCTTTAGAAAATGTGCCCAAATGGCAAGCAACTTATTACTAGAATATTATTCAGTGAGTCATGGTGGGATTTTGGGAGGGTGAGGAACACAAAAGGCACTAGCTGACGGCAAAAGCATGTGAAATCCTGAAGATAAAGGGAAATTTCCTCTATTGTGCAATGGAATTTGTTTTTTAAAATTCAACCATTCTTTCCAAAATATTTCAGCTCCGCCTCCCACCCTGCTCTACTGTCACAATTACAGCAGAAAGCAACTGCAAAAAAATGAATAGTTGTTGCTAATGCTGTTTCTTATTCAGACCCCTTTTCTGCCTGAATTTTCCTGATAGAGCAGCACACTGAACTAACCTTGAATTATGACATATCAATGACTTTTTTTCTTAAAGAAAATTAAAGAATTATATATATCATTCACCTCATACAAAATGTTTGCTGCTCTGGGACTCTCCAAGTCCCAGTGTGACAGCATCAAAATGCTCTTCCCAAAGCAGGTCTGGCCTCCACATAGAAACCCTTTAAGTAAAACAGATTATGTAATGCATTTTTGGGAAAAAGCAAAAGTCAGGATGTTCTTGACTTCTGGGAAGGTCAAATGGTAAATTTGTAATGCTCCTAAGTGGCAGGCCATGATGTCTGAGAGCTCTTAACCAAAGCATGCCTCAGTCTTCTTGATACAGGACGGTGTTTAGAAAATTCCTTCTGTAGGAACTAGTCCTCCCCTAGGATGTGGTAAGTGAAGTACATGCTACAAAAAGATTGAGAATGATGGCATAAACTTGAAGTTTACCAAATATGCCATGTGCATTACCTGTGAATGTCCAGCCATTTTTGAGTCATAGGCAGGACATGCCCCACACTTAGTTATATTTAAGCCTCTTTCAAAGTCACATAAGGGCCTTTCTTCCTAAGGACCTCTACAAAAGCCTCTTGCCACGATGGATGACTTATCTTCTGATTGCACTAACAGTGGACATGGACATTTTGGGGATGTAAGCATGTTCCAGCTTTCCTTCCTTTCATTTCCTTTCAAAATGTTCCAGAAAATAGAGAAGCATTATTTTCAAACATTGATGGTGAAAGCTAAGATCCTAAGATTTAGGTTCGCAAATAGGAAACATATAGGAAAGGTCAAGATGCAATCTTAAGCATCTAGTCTATGCTCTACAAAATTATTGGTAATTACTATGAAACTATAAAGTCAGCATTTTTAGCAAAGTAATTAGAAGGTTTGTCTTAAGTATTAGCTACCACAGCATCCTTCACAGCAACAAAGGGCCAGTGACTTTGTAGTGGGACGAATGAATGTATAAGATGATTCTGTTAATGAAAGGGTTAACTATGCCCTTCATTTCTCCCTACAAATTCTGAGTGCTGGGGATGACTGGTGTGCTGGAGAAGGTGTAGTACATCTGGCCATTAAAATGTGGCTCCTGAACCCATTCTAAAAATCCACCTTCAGCAAGCACTGCTGCTCTTTCTCATGGGAGCCAATTGGTTTTTGCTTAGGTTTTCCTCTTTCCCTGCTTGCTTAGGCTCAAACCCAGAAATCCACATTCCCTAATCCCTCTTCTAGGCAGTCACTCATCGGCTTTGTTTCCTCTTCTCCAGAAATAGAAACAAAAATTAAGGGAGAGCAAAGCAGTAAGGAGTAATCAGTAAGAACACGCAGCATTTGTGATGGTCTCAGCATTCAACTAAAGAGGCAGAGACTTTCCTACAGCAGTATCCTAGCAAATGCAGTTGTTACAATAAATGCTGTGTTTGTTTTAAAAATAGGAGGAATTTTGCAAACA